TTGGTCAATTTCAGACTGTAGAAGCTGATAAAATTCTTCAATTTCCTCATCTGTGGCTTTGGTGGTTGGGGCATAAATTTGAATAACAGTCATATTAACCGGTCTTCCTTGTAGGCTCCCCTAGGGGTGGCAAATTATTGCAAGATGGGTGTTACTGGCACTCCATTCCAATTAAAGAAGACATAAGGTGCTGGGCCCTGTGAAGTTGGTATAAGCAATAATACCCATAATTCCAAACCAAACCAGTTGCTGTGGAGTCAACTCTAATTCATGGTGATCTCATGTGTGTCAAAATAGAACTAAAACAGTACTCCATAAAATTTTCAGTGACTGAGTTTTCAGAAATAGATTGAGAGGCCTTTCTCCCTAGACATCTCTGTGTAAACTCGAACCTCCAAGCTTTCAGTTAGCAGCTAAGCATGTTAACCTCCAATACCCACAATAGCTACCATTTATTGGATGCCTGGTACATATCAGGCACTGAGCTACATACTTCCATTGTGCCATCTCATTTCAGCAGCAGTTGCCCTAGAGGAAGGTCTATTACTGTTTTTATTTTATGTCTGAGGCAGTTGAGGCCCAGAGGCCAAGGTCACAGACCTGGTGTCAAAGCTGGGCTTGCAGTGCCTCTAACAACCACCCTGCTCTTCCTCTCTTTCCTGTAGCCAGAGAAGTTGCATGTCATATGGCTGTCCCCTCTCCTTTCCAAACTCAGTCCACTCCTGGGCTCAGGTCTTGGCTAACAAGTGCTACTGCTGTCCCAACCCATCAGCACCAAATCAGCCCCTCTGGCCCTGACAGAGCTAAGCCAATTGAGTGGCCACTGCCTCCTTAAAGTCAACAAATCCAAATGCCTATCATCTCCTTCTCCCTAAGAGGGCTTCCATTTTCTGCTTGAGACTTGGTTTCTCCACCCATCTTCCAGGCGAAACCTTGCTTTGAATCTCTCAGCCCCTCCACCAGGCTCTGAACTCCAATGACCTAGCCTGGGCTCCAAGGCCTTCTGCTTCCCATCTGTGTGTCTGGGAAGGTTAGTTACCTCCTTGAGTACCTGAATAATCTTATACTTCAAAAAGTTATTATGTGTATTAAATTGAGTTGTCCTGGGAATGCCATCAGCAAAATGCCTGGTTTATAGTAATTGCTCAACAAATGGTGTCTCCCTCCCCCATCCACCTATGTTCTTTCCTTCAAAATGTCTCAGGGTTCCCCAGCCTTACCCTCATCAAATCTCCTCCAGATTCCTGACCCAGCCTCCTGTGATGGACAGCCTGGGGAGCACCCTGAAGTTCATGGCCATCACAATGTGTTGTCCTCCAGGACCCATGGTGTTTTCCTGGAGCCACCCTAACCCTAAAGATTCGTACAGTAGTTCCAACCAGCTCTGGTTCTGACTGTGAGGGGCTTCCAGATTCCTGCATGGCCTCAGCAATTGGCACTCCTTACCCTAGGCCTAACCACAGGCCCTACCAACCCCACCCCAGACATCCTCCAAGGAGACCCCCAAAGGAAGACAGGACTCAGGGCCAAATAGCTCCAAGGCTAGAGACCACTCAGATGTAGGAGATGTTGTATCAGGATCACCGCTAGGAGAGAAGGCCAAGGCAGCCACTAAAACCCATACCCAAGGAGCCCCTCTCCTTGTCCTAGGGGACATCAAGGTGGGAATGGTGAGGATTCTGAAGGCAGTGAGGCTACGTCAGTCCCATGCCCAAGATGGCTGGGGCAGGAGCACCATTGCCCCAGGAGAGTTCAGAGGTAGGGAGCACAGCTCACAGGGTCTGGGCTGGGCTGACAGTGGCATCTTCATGAATGTTTGCTGAATGAATGACAAATACCCACCTTCCTTCTTTCTCCAGAGCACTTGTGACACGATGCCAAACCACTCTGAAACCATCAGCCACACTGTGAATGTGCCCCTGCAGACAACCCTGGGGACCTTGGAAGAGATTGCCTGCTGACACCCCTCATACTACCCAGCCCCCCTAAACAGACCTTGAGGCCCAAGACCCAGGACAGGGGACAGCAAGCTCAGGTGGGATGGCCCCTGACGACAGAAAGAAGCAAGAGCCCCCTATGCACACATAGCAAACTATCTGCCAAAACCTCGCTAGAGCCACGTCTGACATGATGTGCCCTCAGGCCCGCCGCATCCTTCCTAGGAGAGATAAGTCACACTCTGGAACTGTCCAAGAACCAACCTACCATCACATCTCACTGCCAGATGTATAAAGCACTTGCATGCTCAGACTTCTTATGGCGCCACCTCCACGTCTGTCTCTGTACATGACATTCCTCTGCGTGTTTTCCAGCTCTCACTCTGCGTCCTGTGCAATGGGCAGACCCAACTCCAGCCCAGTTGGAACCAAAACTGCACAAGCAAGAGGGAAACCGCAGAATTCTCTAATATGTTCCGTCCTTGTGTACTTTGTGATGGTTCTTAACCAGGAGGGCATGGCCTGGCCATGGCCCCGCCCACACCCTGTTTCCCCCAGCTGGCCCACGGAGCTTCAGCACCGAAGGTGATCAGTGCCAACCCCACCCACGACCAGCGCTGTGAGGGCGGCGCCTGGCCTGAGTGACTCCCACCTCCATCCTCGGCTCCTACATTGTTCTTCTCTCCAGTGAACAGCCTGTACAGTCTGATTCTTTTTATTTGGGGGGCTTCTTCTGTTTGTCTGTTGGAGATTTTGTTTTATTTTATTGATGGTTTTTGGTTTTGATGTTGAGTTTCTTTTCATTCGTTTCTCCATTTTCTTCGGTGTTTATTTATTCGTGCTTCAAATCACAGTCATATTAAAAGCTGGTCTTGTGGAAATGGTTGAGTCATTTCTGCCTTTTCCCCACATGTAGGTCTCTCTCCCCAAGGGCCACACCTGCAAGTCACGAACTATAGACTATGTAGGTAGATAGATTGCTAGATGATAGATAGATAGATAGATAGGAAAAAAAAAAAACTTGCTGTCAAGTTGATTCCAAGTCACGGTGACACTGTATGTGTCAGGGTAGAACTGTCCTCCATTCCTACTGATTTTTCAGAAGTAGATCACCAGCCTTTTCTATTTTAGGCACCTCTTAGTGGACTCAAACCCCCAACCTTTCAGTTAGCAGTTGAACATGTAAAACTATTTGTACCACCCAAGGACTCAGGTGGATATATAGGTAAGCAGATGGATGGATGGGTAAAGAGATAGATACATAGATGTGAATACAAATATACATAAGAATATATATGAGCCAAGTTTTATGAAACAATACTTATCTTTACATAATGTGTACACTAGATAATTTATGCTATTCTAAATTTTTAAGAACGTAACCTTGTAAATTGATTTCATACCCACTAATGGGTCACAGCCCATCGTTTGAATGACATTGCCCTAGACTCTAGATATGTGGCAGGAAGACACTGCCCAGCCCTGAAAGTTGTAAAGGAGGCATTCATGTCTCCTTGCTCTTTCATCTTCTTTCATGATTCCTCCTGACCCTGACCCACACACCAGCCTTTCCAGAGCCCAAGCTTCTCTTTACCCCACCTTCTCACCCCTATCAAACATCCCTGTCTCCCCCTCCAGGTGTTACATCTATATTCAACCCCACCTCTACCCACCCCCCTTGACTTCTGAAAGAAGGGCTGAGGAAGGAGGTTGGCAGGGGCCTTTAGTGAAATCACATCCCTTCATGCCCCCCGTGGCAAGAGAGAGCATCCTGTCCAGGCAGAACTCTTGTGCTCATAGCATCACGCCATAGGGGCAGTTCCGTGATCCTAGCCTTCTACTTCCTGATGTGGCTGTGCCTCCTTTTCCTGCACAGATGTACAGAAAGCATTGGCTAGACAGAGGTCAGGGCTCTGGTCCCTGCTCTGCTCTTGCCCTGTCTCTGCTCCCACCTTTCCTCGTCTGTGAAGTGGAAACAGAAGGCCATGGAATGGGTCACATGCAGCCAGGCAGCCAGCAAAGCTCTGTGCACAGGTGAGGAGGAGGTGACCACTAGGGCAGGGCCCTAATGTCTACACAGTAATGCATCTCTTTGCAAATGCACCCACCCCCTCCTCCAATCTCCCTGGTTTTTGATGCTTTCATTTGGCTTCCTGAGAAGAGTTTTCTTTCCCTGTTGAGAACAAGCCAGGGGTGTACTCAGCTTCTGCCTGGAGAGGGTAAGCCATGTCCTGGGAGACAGCTTTTGTGCTGTGTAGACATTTTCACAGAGCAAGAATATACTGCTGACTGTACTCCAGGGAAAGTAAGGGACCTCAGTAACTCCAATTGGCAACTCCCAAAACCACCAGCCACACTGCACAAGGAAGATGGAGTGATCTACTGCCATAAAGATTTATTGCCTCAAAAACCCAATGAAGGTTGCTATAAGTCAGAATCTGCTCAATGGCAGTGAGTTTGGTGGGTTTTGGTTTTGTTTTGTTTTTCTGGTTAGGGTATCCACAGGAGTTCTGGTGGCATAGTGGTTAAAGATTCTGCTGTTTACCAAAAAGTTGGTGGTTCAACCAACCAGTCTCTCACTGGGAGAAAGATGAGACAGTCTGTTTCCATAAAGATTTTCAGACTTGGAAACCTTATGGGCACTTCTACTCTGTCCTGCAGGGTCACTATGAGTCAGAATTGACTCAATGGTAGTGGATTTTTTTTTTAGGTGTCCACAAGGTGCCTACAGGGATGCTCATAGGAGACTGTTCTCCCTGCATGGCCATGAGTGTGAAGGCTACACCACTCACTGCCTCTGAGCTTTGTGGGTCTGTGACACTGTACTTCCTTGTCAGTGGGATGGGCTTCCTACAACCTAGACCTTTTGCAAAAATGAAATAAATAAACAAATATGAGTCCCACATGTGTTCTGAGGAGTCATGGCAGCTGATCAAGGGTGGAGGAGCCCAGCATCTGGAAAGAGGTTGGCTCTGCCAAACTCTGTTTCCCAGCCCTTCCCAAAACGAATGGCATAAATGCTAGAAAGTTCATACAAGTTTCTGGGCCCCAGGGATGACTGGAATTTTGGAGTCTTACAGTGAGGTACAGGTGGGCTGTCCCTCTGGAAATACACTAGAGTTGAGACAAGTCTCAGTGGACTGGGCCCCAAGACATCTACTCCCAAATCATGACCTACAAGGGTCACCGAGGTCACATGCACTTACAGGACCATCCCCACCAGCTGCTCAGCATCATGGCTCCTCTAATCCCAGTGCCAGCACATGCCATGAAATAAACAGGCACTGCGTAGACACTCAGAGGACCATGCAGTAAAGGCCAGGTGCATCTAATAAAGACTTTCAACTTTTTGCTCACTTAATTCTCATCATAATTTTGTTAACTAGCTTTCATTATCTCCATTTTACAAATGAACATTCTGAGCCTCAACAAAACCAAAATAACTTGCCCAAGCTCAGGCAGGTGGTGACTGGCAGAGCTGGAAATCGAACTCATGTGTGTCTGGGTTTACAGCCCCTGCACTTCCTACTATAATAAAGTAATTCTTGTTTGTGACAAGCTGGTTTGAAGCACAAAGTGATTCTCTCCCCTACCGAACAAGGACATCAGGCCCCAAGATTCAAAGGTCACAACTTCTGGGTACTGTTTGGCAGCTCAGTGTTGCACCTGTGTGGAGTCCCGCCAGGTGGAGCCTGACAGAGCTCACCTGCCTGACCCACTCACACACGGAAAAAGTACTTGCACAGCATGACAGATTGCAAAGAACCCCACACCAGGAGGCAGGAGCCTGGACCCATGGCTCTCTTCTCTTCGTAGCTGTACAACAATGGATGAGACTCTGCACCTCTCTGATACTTATTTCCTCAACTTTATGATGAAGATAACCTTTTACCTGTGTGAAGGGAAGATGCAGGTCCACATGATGTCCTGAGGCTCCTTCAGACTCAAAGATGTTGGCAGGGCTAAATTCCTTCTGGAAGCTCTAGAGGAGAATGATTCCTGCCTTTTCCAGCTTCTGGAAGCCACCAGCACTCCTTGGCCCAGGGCCCCTTCCTCCATCTTCAAAGCCAGAAATGGCAGGTAGAATTCTTGCATTGCCCCGCTCTGCCCTTCCTCCATAAGCACATACACGTCTGCCTCTGGCTCCTCTTCTGCCTCCCTCTTCCATTACTAAGGATCCTTGTGATTAGGTTGGGCCCCCCCCCCAATAATCCAGGGTAATCTCCCATCTCCCATTAAATTGTCTTAATCTCCCATTAAGTTATTGACTCAATCACATTGGCAGGATCCCTATTACCATGTAAGGTAAACAGACTTGTAGGTTCCAGAGATTAGGTTGTAGACATCCTAGTTGCTCACAGGTGCAACTAGAACAGGTGGAATCCGATCGATTCCAACTCATAGTGACCCCACGTGACAGAGTAGAACTCTCCCATAGGGTTTTCCAGGCTGTAATCTTTGGGGAGAGGGGGTGATGTCAAAACACAAATATTAACTTTGTTCACATGATTATTTACTTGCTGTGATGAATGGAAAAAAAATTCATGCATTATATGCTCACGTCTAACAGTGGAAATTAGGAAAAGAGATCTCAGGTTCCACACACACGTCCTCTGCAGTTACAGAGGTGATTTTGTCACCTGGCATCCTGTCCCTCCTTATACTCAATTATATCTGTCATGTAAAAGTTCTAAAAAGTATACAAAGTTGTATACTTTGGTTCTTTCACAAAACCACTTATTGCAACCCCAATATCTAACCTATTTTGAAAACGTTAATGCTTCTTTAATTATTAAGTAAATGTCAAGAGATGTACCACAATGCCCTCTCTCCTTCAGGCCTCACCCGATGGAATTTACACTTTCCTACTGCATCTTTTTGTTGTTGTTAATATTTTATTATTAAGTTTAGGTGAAAGTTTGCAGAGCAAATTAGTTTCCCCATCAGCAGTTTATACACAGATTGTTCCATGACTTTGGTTGGCATCCCCACTATGTGTCAGCACTCTGCTCATTCCCACCTGGGGTTTCCTGTTTCCGTTCACTCGGGTTTTCTGCGCTTTCCTGTCTTCTCAACTTTGCTTTTGGGCGTAGACTATATCATCTTTACGGTAGTAGATGACCAAGACTTTCTCCCATGGAGCCATTGGCTGGGTTTGAACTACCAAGCTTTTGGTTAGCAGCTGAGCACTTAACCATTGTGCCACCAGGGCTTCTTATTCTGCCCCCAATGGCCCTTCAGACCAGATAGCCTAACGCTCTCATTTGCCAGATAAGCAGACCCAGCCTGGAAGGAGGGAGTTGCCTAGGGTCACCCAGTGACTTAGTGGCAATGCCAAAGCTATACCTTCAGGCTCCCAGGCTCCCAATTCCATTGTAGATCAACCAGGCTGACTCCCTTAAAGCAGGAAGTCCTGAGAGAAATCCTTTTTCCAGACTTTGCCAGGGTGTAGAAGTCCCTCCTCATTGTATCCCGCTGGAAAATGTCGTGCTGGGGGCTAGACTGTTGG